GCAGGAGAGGGAGTCGGGTGTGGGCTGAGGAGCCGGGGAGCATGGTTCATTTCCTCTGAATACTCTTGCTATCAGGAAGGTGTGGAAGTTATGGATGAATGTGAGAGTGAGCAAACTGCAGACGGAAGATCAGATAACCGATAGACAGAGAGTGCAAAAGAAAGAGGGAGCAGAGGGAGAAGTGCTGGCATTGATCTAAAGCTTCCCTAATGATGAAAAGAGATCTTAATTGTGGTGACATGTAATATAACAGGTTTAAGCAGTCAATTGTAGAGCTCATCTGACCTTATTTAATAGGGTAGTGTGAAGCCTCTCATCACATAGGCTTTCTTTCCCTCACTACAGCCTTCTCTACCTGCCTGTAGATGTGTCTCATCGCTTTGTCTGTCAGTTTTGTCTCAGCCGCATTGATAATCTCCTCATTGAACAAATTCCTACATTTCATTCTTGTATGGACTTTAAGGTAGGTTGGAGGCCTTCCATCTACGCAGCAACTAAGGGTTGCTTTTTGCTCATATGAACCTCCAAATGAAATTTAAAGATGATTAATGTTCCCTATTCCTAGAAAATGTACAAGATCTTCTTACTCTCTCCTCTCCTCATCTCACTTCTCCACTAATAACATTTTCTTCACTATCTCCCTTTATCTCCCGAGCGCTGTAATCTGATTGTTCTTTCTGTGATTGTGCTGTTATTGAGTTGTCTGGATCATACATATGTATAAGCTCACCACAATACTTATGCTGTGCTCTGCTGTGATTTCCTGCAGCATACAACCAAACAGGAGTCCCATTCCTAATTGGAGGAAACACTAATGCCATGTTGAAGCGCGTAAAAGCTTCCCTCTGAAAAAGAGGGGACTCACACCAACCCCTGAGTCAGGTTTATACGGAAATGTTCCTTTTGAGTCATGTTAAGTTTGCTGAAAAGCTGTAAAAGTCCCCAAGTCTGACTGTGTGTGTTAATGGAGTTGTTTTTTTCTTGACAACAGTGGCTCAGATATAACGGGAGAATAAGAAATACAACCTCGGAGTTATGTAGCTACTTTGGTAGACGAGTGATGCATGTGTTTCTTTTAAAGTACAACGTAAAACTAGCTGTCATCCACAATTTTGTGTTCTCTCAGCTAGCTGCACCTAGATTCATTTTTAGCCAGCTGTGGGGCTGTGGGGATGGCAGTCAGTCTCTTTAGTAGATGGCACACTTTTTCATGCATACAAGCTTATATTTGATTAGATACAGTGCTTAACAAATTTACGAGTCCACCTGTCATATGCTCCAGTGCTCCAATTTGAGTCGGTACCCTGGACCTCTCTGAGAAGTCAGAAATTAATCAAGCATAACATTCAACCACTAAAACAAATTTTTCTGTTCAGGAATCCAAGTGAATGACTGTAATTTGGGATCTTAATCAAACAATAACTATTTTTTTCTGGGGGTTTTTGTTTTTTCTGTAAAACTGTACATTTGAAAATTCAAAGCTAAACACACTAATTATATTCTAGTATTAAAAATATAATTTGGATTAAAGAACTCATGCATTGCGGTGGATTTACCATTACCGTTGTATTTGGGTAATTACCAATACTGTTAATTTAGGGATGCTGTAGCATAACCCTTACATTGGGTGGTGGTTGTCGTTGCGATTGTTGGCAATCTCTAACAAGGAATTGTTAAAGAATGATTCACAAAACGTCTAGATATATAAATAGATAGATATAGATAGATACACACACACATATGTAACTGGCTTAGAGTCATTCAGTTCTTGATTTAAGGAGTTTTCATCTTCTCGGTTTCAAGAGATATCTTTTCGGTCTTTCACAGAGTTCTTCCCACAGATTTTTAGTCATGTTTAAGTCAGTTGACGTTGACGACCACTTCAAAAGCTTCAGCTTGCATTTCTTGAGGTATTTTTGGTGAATTTTCTAGTCTGCTAGGGGTCATTGTCTTCTTGTGGGAGTTTCACTTTCGTTTCTGACATTGAAATCCATAATTTGCTGATACCTGGTCAACCCACAAAGTTCTAAAATTGCCAGGTGGCTAATAATGCCATTCTCTGGCCTCACTTATGAGTTACTTATGACCTGACAACTATTTTGTGAGTTCCCGACAAAAAAAAAACTTAAAGAAGAAAAGCTGATTTTCAAGGTCTGTCCACTGAAACATTTGCAAAAACGTCTTTTCAATGAAAAAATCACAAACTATATAATTTACCAGGGTTGGCTACCACTTACAACTCTAAGTTCCTTTCAAATCGAAATCATAAGCTGAAAGAGTGACTACTTTTTAGTTGTGTGTGCGCACCTGTGTGCTTTTAGCTTCAGCACCTCTTCATCACTTCAGCAGTGCCCCTCTGGCTATAGCTCTAAAAGTTACTTCTGACTCATTGTAACTTAACTGAATAGGCACTGAGGAGGAAGAAAAGCATGAAGGTTTATTTCTCAAACCGTCAATCTTTCACTGAATGCGGCAGCCTGATATGACCTTATAGCAAACATCCGCTGTTTCAAAAAGTCTATAGCTTATGGATTTCATGTCAAGAGAAAATATCTGATATTTATTCTAACATATCCTCACCCTTTAAATTGATTTACTGTCAAGCACAAAAAATTTCATATTCATGCTAATAAAAAGTCCATCTATTTATTGGTTTGTGTTGGCATTTTATTATTTTCATGCCACAGAAGAAGAGGGCCTTTCTCTGTACTCATCTTTTTCACTCGATCGACACTTGTTAAAGTTGCTGACTATGGACTATGTACAGTTGCTTTTCCCCCTTCAGAAGGACTTATGTCAGCCTCAGACCCCCCCCCCTCCGCCCAGAATAAAATCACTTTAAAAACTTCGTACAGCTGACCCTGAAGGTTAGGTTGAGGTTCATGGTGAGATGTTGCCGCTGAAGTTTCTGGATTATGATGATTGTGCTTGTTTAAACTCTGGGCCACAAGCTTGAGTAATGATTAGGACTGCACCAGCAGAGTGTTAGCCTGACAGATGGCAACACATGGAGTTAGCTGACAGCACTGCTGACAGCGCATTCACAGGAAGTCCCCATATTGCATGCACTGTACACAGGCTTTGTTGCTGTACATATTCTGATGTTTTTCTGCCATCAACTGTAGCTTGTTTCTACCTGTCAATGCCAAAGTCAGCTCACATCATCTATTCACAGACTTAAAATTGCAAGACCTCTGCACATGCCTGCTGTCAGTGCACCAGAGGGAATTGGGGTCTGTTGAAAATCTGCAGTTAGACATTATCCCAGTCACTGGTCATTCATCTAAAGCTTTCTTCTTTTATAAGTTCATCCTGGAGCAGTCGATACACTACCGTTTATTTGCTCTTCAATCAATCTACTTAAAAATCAGCTCTGCGGGCATGTTAATTAAATTCATTTCAGTTTAATTCAATTATATATATATCACCAAATCACAACAGCCTCAAGCATGGAATATATCAGAATCTATATAAGTGCTATTGTTTTGCATCTGCAGCAATATGTAGTTGTTTTTAGGTCGGAGGTTGATGAAAGATGAGGCAGGCATAAAGCTGCTGGTCCCACTGCATTGGATACGAATGAAGGAAGACAGAAAATGTCCCAACCTAACTAGACACAAAGATGTGATCCTGTACTTCTGTTTTTTGGGTTGGTGTTGTTTATCAACTGGGAGAATAGTTTTTTAAACTCCATCCAAATGCAGCCTCAGGGGAAGCGCATGTAACCCCTCTGAATAGTTGTAATACTTGGCACTGTCACTTCATGACAGCTTCAAGCTCAAAGTCTGTGTGTGTGTGTGTGTGTGTGTGTGTGTGTGTGTGTGTGTGTGTGTGTGTGTGTGTGTGTGTACATATGTGCATATGGATAGGAGCATGGCAGTGATGTGATTGATGAGACATATAAGAGAGCAGAGCAAGATTTCTAGTCAATCAGCCCTGTGAATAACCACCTAGGCTGTGGATTAAAGGCAGAAAGCTGTCTGCACAAACAAAGGCTCACATCCATTACCTTACATGTAGAGTTGTTTTGCTCTCTGTGGCAACACTGACAACAAAATTAAAGTGTGTTAACAAAAATAGATCTATTTTTTCTCTTGAATTCAGGACATGAAACGTAGCAACATCTAACAACTAGGATGCTCGTAGAAAAGAAAACTTGTGGGAGGTAAACATGAATGCTACCAAAGAGTGACCTTTGAAATATTTATAATTTTAACAACGAGTGCAAATTGAAATTGGACACATTTGAATTATATCACATTATGTGTATTTACTTTTCATTTGACAGAACAAAGAATAAACTGTAGCACCTCTGATCTCTGTCTTTACCTCTTTAAAAATGAAGATACAAAGTCAGCCGAGGACTAGTTGCAAGCCGTTGGTTCCATACTTAGAGTTCTATATTGTAGCATTTAGCCAGCACAGGGAACAGGAGTGATGTGGCAGCCACTATTTAATATTAAATACCTCTGAGAAATGCACCAAATCCAATAACTGCTCCAAGACTGTAAATACTTATCCTTCCCAGACTGAATCCCCTCCAAATCATTTTCAATTTGACATTTTTTAGTGGGGTCCCGACACTTGATCAGTTTCTCAATCAATCAGCTGTTTGGCACTCATCTAATATGAATGGAGTCCTATTTTACAGGATGCTGTTCTTGACAAAGAATAGCTAAAAGGTTTTTGGTTTTTAGGCAAACATGCAGTAAAACTAAATCTAACTTAAAACTCAAAACATTCTCGGTATATGCGGAGCTTGGCATTATGGTTTGAGACATGAAAATATAGATATGAGTGAGTAGCATTTGTAAGAATGAATTACAATTCCTAAAAACTTGGAACTATGGTAGTAGGAGCTGGGTTAAATGGATGGATGGATGGATGCTGTTGTGTTTTTGAAAGGTCTGTCTGGTAGAAAAAGACATGAAAAGGCAAAGTGCAGCATTGTCAGTTACACTGTCAGTAAAATTTGATTGTTCTTTCTGTCTCTTCTGCAGGTCCAAGGGTTGGAGAGGCAAGTGGACTTCTCAGATCTGGGCCCAGTGGGGGCGGTGATGAAGACTCTTCCATACGGCATGGGCGGAGGCACCGTTGGAGGAGTAGTTAAGCCGCCGTACCAAACCATCTTCTCCACACCGATCGATCAGACACCGGTGAAATCCAAGCCACCCCCGTACAGTTCCTATAGCCCTTATGAGCTGGCCCGGAACCAGTCCCTGCTAGTGGATCAGACAGGCTACCGCTCCAAGCGTAAACCTGCACTAAAGACAGCCATGAAGACCAAGAAAATCTTTGGCTGGGGGGACTTCTACTTCAATGTCAAGACCGTGAAGTTCAGCCTGTTGGTGACAGGGAAGATTGTGGACCACATCAATGGGACTTTTACTGTTTATTTTCGCCACAACTCCTCCAGCCTGGGGAATGTGTCGGTCAGTATCGTGCCACCAACCAAAGTGGTTGAGTTTGAGGTCCTTCAGCAGCATCATCTGCACCCCCACACCCAGCAGGACGTCCAGATCCAGGAGACACAGCAGTCCACCATCGATCCAAAAGAGGCAAAGACCTTAAACTGTCGGGTCGAGTACGAGAAAACCAACAGATCCAAGAAATCCAAACCCTGCCTGTATGATCCGTCTCAGACCTGCTTCACAGAGCACACCCAGTCCCACGCTGCTTGGCTTTGTGCTAAACCTTTCAAGGTGATCTGCATCTTCATCTCTTTCTTCAGCATTGATTATAAGCTGGTTCAGAAAGTGTGTCCAGACTACAACTTCCAAAGCGATCACCCTTACTTTGGATAAAGTAAACGAGACTAAATAGAGAATAAAAGAGACACTGATGAGTAAAATGATAATGATGGAAATGATAGTCATACTGATCCTGTTAAAAAAAAGCAGGGGACAGTTTTTTTTGCCTCTAAACAGCTGTGAATTGTGGATTTAAATCATGTATATTCAGACTTATGGATGATTAGGATGTGGCTGATTTCACTGACGTCTTTTCCAACTTTGTATTTGTTCTGTTTTTCTTTGTTTTCTTTTGTTTTCTGTAAATATTGTACTCAACCCCAGCAGACTTATTGTTTTTAGATATTTGTTTCTTAGTGTCATTTCTTTCTGAAGTTGGAGGCTTGGTTACAAACAGCTGGAATCAGTATTATGCCCTTCGAGTACAAAGTAAGCCTCTGAGGCAGCCGAACAGTGCCATCGCTGTATGGCAAACGTAATGTTATGGTAGACTGACTGTTAATCATCCTCTCAGCTCTACATTTAAACCCTGGATATAAGAGAGTTATATGTATGAGAAATGCCATGCTGGATATGCATACAATATACTGTATGAAAAAGCACATTAAAATCTCTTAAACTGTCTGCCTTTTACTGAGTGAATGTTTTGGTTCAGAGCTTGAAGCAAATTTGCAAGGCACAAGCTGTGCAGCGTTTTCATGTTATCTAACTCAGCAAGGACACTATTATGAATTAAGCTACATTTTACTCTGATTAGGAATTCATGTTCCAGCTTTCAGCTAAGATATGTAATTTTAATTTTCTCAAATATATCGAAGGAAAGTTTGTTATGGATTGAATTTTAACATGAAAACCAACCGTGAAACATTCTTTAGATGATAAAGTTTGACTTTTTGAGGGAGTTGATATGTACAGTAATAGAATCCAGCAGCCTTATCTGATGTGATTTTTAATTACATATATCCTGGAAATGGAAAAGAATAACTATTGTACTGAAGGTAACATGACTGACAGATTTATGTTTGTTTGATCATGCAACCAAATAAAGTATTGCACACCCGAGTAAACATTTTTTAGTTGTGCTGAAACCAAAGGGTATATTGTATTATTTTATATGTATATTATGCTGCCAATGCTATGATCTTAACTACCTAATAATACTTAATTGATCAAGGTTTTTTATGCTCAAAATATGAACTTAAAAGAAAATAAAGTAGGACTGGCTCGCCACCAAAAGAGTAATTATTAAAACTGATCGGGGGTTATAACCGAAAGCAAGGATCACCCCACCTGCCTCTCTCTTAAGCAAACCAATCAAATGCAGTTTGAACAACTATTTAAGGCTGATTCTTCGTTCTTCGCAAACTCTCAGCTCAAAGTCATTTGGGTCCACACACCTTTGATTCGGAAATATTGGTGCACAGAATTTCATTAGAAAACACATATTCAGTGTTAATTAAATCTTTACCTTCTCTGCCTCAGTATCTTATGGTCATGATGATTTAAACTGAAATGGAACCTTACACAAGTTGCTATGGACAAATGTAGGAGTTGGTGAACTTCCCTTCTTTTTAGACAGAAGCTTAGTGAAGAGTTGTTAAAAAAGTGCTCGGGATTACTCACAACTATATGTAAGTGTACGTATGAGTGCATGTTTGTGACTGGGTGTAGATGCATGTGAAAGCTACAGTAAGGTCCATAAGTGTTCTGTTAATGAGGCTTTTCTGTGTAATTTTCTCTGTGTATACCATCACTGTGGATTATAAAGCAAACAATCGATACGTCTTTGAAATGCTGACTTTCCACTTTTATTTAAACAGCTTAGAAAAAGAATTGCTTTAACTATTAATGAAAGATTTTTTTGCATACTAGTCTCCCATTTTCAGCAGTAACTGGACAAAATTCCCCTCACATAATTTTTAATATAAGGATTGCTGTCAAAGACAGTATGAAACCTAGAACCCAACAATACATGCTGTGTTCCCATGCTCTGTTGGCTTGAAATCAGGTGACTAACTTAAAGAATATCGCATTGCTGGCAGACTCTGGACAGAGTCTTTTAGATGTTTTATGGCAAAGTTTTCTGTGCTCTTCTCGGTCTTTTGGTGTTTCAAATGTAGCCAATTTCTTTTTAAAATGAACTATATTGTAGATTTAGACACTTCTGAAGGTTTTTCTATCTCTCTGATATTTATTTTGTTTTTTCAAACCAACCACTTATTCAAAATCTCTTTTAACCTTGTATTGAAAGTTCCTGTTAACAGCCAGATGCAAGTTGAACACTTGGAATCACCTCTGGATTTTTTTTTTCATTTTTTAATTTGGAGTTGATTTTAATTTTGTCATGAAATAATGAAGGAATTGGTCTCACCTGGCCATGAAGCTGCTTATCAGTCAACTGTCCGATTCCTTTCAAGCCTCAGAGGCCTGTTTATAAAAACAGATGTAATTTTTAAACTGTCAGTGAAATACTTTTGTTAAACCTTATTAATTAAAGCTGAAAGTCTGCATTTTACTGCCCTATTTGAAATAAAATCCACAGTGGTGTTGCATACAATAGCAATAAAATGTAGAAAAAAGTGTCATTGCCCCAAAACTTATAAACCTAACTGTATGTGTCTATGTTTGTCCAGGAATGTCATAGGAATTGAGTTTTAGTAAAATAAATAATAAATTATGAATGAATATAAACAACAGGGCAATTATTGTAATAAAGGTTGTGTAACAGTACGATATATATATATATATATATATATATATATATATATATATATAGGAGCAAAATTGGGCTTATTTACCCCAAAAGTGCAAAAATAAGTCGCACAATCGTCAATGGATAATACAGGGCCCAGGAACAGGAACATAAAAATAACTCCAACCAACAGAACCAAAAGCTGATCAATCAAACAAGACACAAGGAGGAACAACCACTAACAAATTATACAACAACAAACAATTACTTCAACTTAACAGTTATCAGACACAAAACTAACCGAATACTGAACTCAGAGAAACTGAAAGAAAATTTATTTAACCCTTAGATAATTCTGGGAACATTTCGTGCCACTCAGGGTTTTTTTTAATTTTCATGCTATTTTGGCTGCCCAGGATGAATAAAGCTCACATTTGCCAGAGGATAACTGCTCCCTCAGTTCCTGAAATTAGCTTAAAATGGTTAAGCAACACAAAATTCTAAGCATCCAATATATACCTGCACACCATGCTACCAACTATGACGAAGAGCTGGCAGCTTTAAAATACATAATGATTTAAAGTAGAAGAAATTATTACTACACAGTATTTTTGCAGCAGTTTTCGGGAACCTGTCATTTTTTGTCGTTAGGATCAGGAGTGTCAGTTTGTTTTTGTTTTTTTAAAGAAAAAATAAATCAATGCTGTTACCAATTATTGACTGTGGAGCTATGTAAACATACTGGCCTTTAAACTATGGGTCTTTTAAAATGGAAAAAAAATTACCATAATTTTACTGCAGTTTTTGGAAGGTGGCATTTTTTTCCTTAGGGTAAAAAGAGTCCAGATTTTAAGGGTCATTTAAGGGTCAAGCTAAATTACATATTCATTTGATGATTCTAATTATAGACAGTCATCAGAAAATCTAGGGGTAACCCAGGAGTGTGCTAAATTTGTGAAATCCTACTTCCTAGTTCAGACCAACCTGCCTGGTTGGTTTGTTGGTTTACCCTTGTCTCTGTGTCCTGAATCCAAACTGTAAGCAGGTTCCACAGAAGCTACCTCCCATTCAACCTTTAAATATCCTAGAAGACACCAGTAAACCAGCAGTTTGAGAGTGAAGAGCTCTATTGAGTTACTATTTGGTCATTAATTTAATATGAGGCCTGATTATTCAAGACCTTGTATGTGAGGAAAGGGAGTTTAGATTCGATTCTGGATTTAACAGGGAGCCAATGAAGAGAGCTAGAGAAAAAAATATTGGCAAAATATGCTTGTTCTTTACGCAGCATTTTGGATCAACTGAAGGCTTTTAAAGGAATCTTAGGACCGCCTGATAATAATGAATTACAGTAGTCTAGGCTAGAAGTGATAAATGCGTGAACTAGTTTTTCAGCATCACTCTGAGAAAGGATAATTCAAACTTTAGAGATGTTGCGCGAATGGAAGAAAGCAGTCCTATATTTGTTTAATATGTGCATTGAAGGACATATCAATAATGACTCCAAGGTTCCTCACGGTGTTACTGGAGGCCAAGGTAATGCCATCCAGAGTACACATGTGATTAGATGCCGTATTTCTACAATTTTCAAGGCCGAGTACAATATTTGAATTTACAAGCAGGAAATTAGAGGTCGTCCAGGCCTTTATGTCTTTAAGATATTTCTGCAGTTTAACTGATTGGTGTGTGTTCACCAATGGCTTCGTAGATATAAAAGCAGGGTATTATCTGCATAGCAATGAAAATGCATGCTATGCCTTCAAATGATACTGCCTAAGGGAAACATGTATAATCAGAATTGGTCCTTGCATGGAACCCTGTGGAACCCCATAATTAACCTTGGTGTGTGAAGAAGTCTCTCCATTTACATGAACAAACTCTATTGGATGGATATGATTCAAACCACTGCAGTGCAGTACCTGTAATACCCACAGCGTGCTCTAATCACTTTAATAGAATGTTATGGTCAACAGTATCGAACGCTGCACTGAGGTCTAGCAGGACAAGCACAGAGATGAGTCCACTGTCAGAGGCCATAAGAAGATAAATTGTAACTTTCACTACAGCTGTTTCTGTGCTGTGATGAGCTCTGAACCCTCAGTGAAACTCAGTAAAAGCAGTCCTCTGCAGATTATCAGTTAGCTGTTTTACAACTGCTGTTATAAGAATTTTTCAGATACAAGGAAGGTTGGAGATCGGCCTATAATCACTGAGGTTAAGATCAGAGACTGTAAATCACAAATTAAAAATTAAAGTTTAACCTTAAAAGGATTGGACTTGTACATGACAATGACCAATTTATTACATGAACTTAAACTTAACTAACTTGATATATATTACCTATGATTAACAATGAATTATTAATTAATCATGTTTCACAATTTTTAACCAATTGTTTGCCTGAAATAGTTTTATAGAATAAAATATAAGAGGCAAGAGAAAAACTGGAAAGATTATACCTGACACACTAAATTAAATTTACCCACATTTTATAGAGATAGTAGTGCCATGTAGTTCATGCCATACATGTATATTTCCAGGGAAATTCTCTTTTAAAAGTCATATATAAAATGTAGCAACCAGCCAGTATTGCTGGTTCAGCTGTGATGAGCACAGAGCACTGTGTCCCTTTCTTTTCTTTAGTTTTTAAGTTTTTTTTTTTCATATTATGTTTTGCATTTTACTATATTAAATTATATGCTTGTTGTGCTTGTTTATATTCATAGTAGGGCTGCATGATTTTGCATAAAATGAGAATCATAAATATTTCTTGCACTTATTAACTGCACATCAACTTCGTAACAGTTGAAACTGAACATTAAAAAAAATGTTGTACTGCTTATAAACCCACCACCACCGTTGCTCGACACTGCGTGTTTAGAGCAGGTAGTGCAACATTTTTTAAATAGTACTGTGTAGCGTTTGTCTAGGGCAGACCTTCCCAAAGTGTGGGGCCCGCCCCCTAGGGGGGGGCGCAGAGCCATTGCGGGGGGGCGCAGTATGAAAATGGGGAGAAAATTCCCCCTGTCTAAATCACGGACCAACAGTATCCCACAGTTGTTTATGTTTTTGAACCCATTTTGCACAGAGAGACATTTTTTGAAAATGTATAGGGGCGATCATGGCTCAAGAGTTGGGAGTTCACCTTGTAATCGGAAGGTTGCCGGTTTGAGCCCCGGCTTGGACAGTCTCGGTTGTTGTGTCCTTGGGCAAGACACTTCACCCGTTGCCTACTGGTGGTGGTCAGAGGGCCCGTTGGCGCCAGTGTCCAGCAGCCTCCTCTGTCAGTGCGCCCCAGGACGGCTGTGGCTACAATGTAGCTGCCATCACCAGTGTGTGAATGTGTGTGTGAATGGGTGGATGACAGGTTGTGTAAAGCGCTTTGGGGTCAAGGGACTAGAAAAGCGCTATACAAATACAGGCCATTTACCATTTTTATTGATAGCAATGTTGAATATTGTTACACAGGAAAAAAAACAACTACAGGTAAAATAATCACAAGGTGACGCCTCTGCCTTTCTAAATAGAGGGACAGTAACTGCATGTGTGTATAAGCCTGTAAAAACTGAAGATAGTCAGATTAACAGAAACGGTATTTTGTCTCTATCTGCCATTCTGCAATTCATCTCATGTAAACAATAACGTGGCGCACAGCATGATGTGGAAAAAGGCACACACCTTTGACGTTGCAGCGAACTCTGTATTCCTTGTCCACAGGTAAACGCAAAAAAGGAGTTTTAAAAAATCTCCGCTTTCGGTGATTCGAAACGCCGTTTACGTGGACGAAACAGCTGAGTTGTCAAAAATACTCATGTAGGTGTGGATGTAGCATAAAAGAATTATAAGTTTATTTTATTACCACCTGTAATTTATTGCAGATTACTTGTATTTGCTTAATTGTTTACTGAATGTTTGAGGTGTGAAATAAACCGAAATGGAGCAAAATAAGGGTGTGGTTGGAGGATGTGTTTGTGCGTGTGCGTGTGCACGCGCGGGAGGGGGGGGCGCGAACATTTTTCTTGTAAAACAAAGGGGGCCCAGCAAAAAGTTTGGGAACCACTGGTCTAGGGTGTTGATCATTTTCCTAAATCCCTCGTTTTGAACAGTGTTATCTTCGGTCAGGTGATAAGTGATAACCTCCGTAATTTCTTTGTGCCTGCGGGAGTTCGACAGGTATGGGGAAGCGCTGTATAAGGTTCCCGTTATTGATGTTTGGGTGGTTGACCGGGACGGATTTTCTCCTGTCACTTTCTTGGCCTTTACAGCTTCGTCATCTCTCACGTGCTCTCCGTTGTTTTTTCCCTGCCAGATGACTTCTGTATCACGTGGTATAAGCCTCCGCCCTTGTCATTTGTTGAGTCATTTGTTGTTTGAAGAGTGGGCGCTTGTTTTCATGCAGCTTATGTCCCGGAAGAAAATCCGTCATCTTTTTTTTTCTTTTTTTAATCGTTGTCATTTCGAAATGAGTATGGATTGAGATTGCAATTTTCTAACGATTAATTGTGCAGCCCTAATTCATAGGTTGTGGTGGTGGAGGTGAGGTGGAGGTGGAGGTGGTCAACAAGTACAAGTACCTCGGGCTGTGGGTGGACAATAAACTGGACTGGTCATGCAACACAGAGCACCTGTATAAAAAAGCCCAAAGCCGACTGTACTTCCTCAGGAGGCTGAGGTCTTTTAACATCTGCAGGAAGCTCCTGAGGATGTTTTACCAGTCGGTGGTTGCTGGAGTACTTTTCTATGCTGTGGTGTGCTGGGGGAGCAGCACAGCAAAGAAGGACTCATCCAGGCTGGAGAAACTGATCAGGAGGGCTAGCTCTGTGGTCGGCATGAAGCTGGACACTCTGGTGACAGTGGCAGAGAAAAGGACATTAAAGAAACTGATGGACATTATGGACAATGCTGGGCATCCTCTGCACACGGCCATTAACAACCAGAAGAGTCTGTTCAGTGACAGGTTGCTTCTCCCCAAGACAAGAACTAACAGACTTAAAAACTCCTTTGTCCCACACGCCATCAGACTGTTTAACTCCTCTCTGGAGGGGAGAGGGAGGGGAAACAGGAGGACAAAGGAGGGGGGAACAACTAAGCTGTAGTGCCTCTTCACCTCACTGTGCAATACCTTTTGTGCAATACTTTTGTAAATAGTCAACAGTGCAATAGACTCAATACTTGAAATGTGCAATTCACTTGTATTTTTATTTTTTATTCCTATTTATTCTATTTATCCCCTTCGTATATTTTATTTATATTGTCTCTGTATTTATATATGTGTGTGTGTGTGTGTGTATATATATATATATATATATTATATATATATATATATATATATATATATATATATATATATATATATATATAATATTCTGTAACTTCGGTCGTTCCTGTGCTTTTTTGGAAATCGAATTTCCCAGAGGAACCCACCCGAGGGATTAATAAAGTTCTATCTTATCTTATCTTATCGTATCTGATTATTAAATAATTTCTTCATGCTTTAGGAGCTGGACTGTAGTGCGACAACGCACTCTGGGCACTTCTGTATATGAGCACTGTAGGCACACAGCTAGTTTTTGTGTTTTCTTCACAGCAGTGTGCCTACATTTCCCATCGAACCCTTCGGTAGGACGAAAGTGACTACACTTTTTTTTTTTTTCAACCAGCCCTTCGTTTCTGTCAGGGGTGTGGGCGCTGCTGTGCTGCTTCTTCGTCAGGTCTACCTGGAAATATGCGGCTATTCGCTCTGAGACGACTCACACGGGTAACTGTAATATATTTCTGTGCTATTTTGCCCCTGAGGTAATGTTTCTTACTGCTGCTTAAGTAAACTGTAGTGTTTATATTTAATAAATAGAAATGCTCAGCAATAAACCGCTGGCTGTTTTCTGTCTGTCCTTTATGCACTGCATTCATGGAAACTTGAGGTTGCCAGAGGTTAAGTTTGGTGAATGCAGCTGGGTCCACGTGATGATGCCACAGCGACTGCCACAGCTTACAAGCATAAAAAGTGAATTCATTATTATTATTTTTTAAGTGTAAATTAATAATGGTTGCACAAGAACCTTCATTAAAGATAACATGATATTCAGTCCAAATACTTGGAACCGGGATGTGTTATCATGCTGCGTGTTATACTTGTATTTGTATGTTTTTGTGCTAGCTCGACAGATGATCACTTTGTATAAAAAAAAAAAAAAGACTGAATGAAATCATACTGAACTGTGTACTGTCTACCTCTGGATTAAAACATACTCTTATAAAGTAAGTATATAAAACAAGTGAGGTTTTAAAAATTAAAAAAGAAGGACAACAACTCATTAGGAAGTCAAACTTTGTTGCAAACCAGATTTAGCTTTGTTTTTATTTATTCTGGAGTATTAGATTCATATCAGCATGCTTTAAAAATGAAAAAACAAAAAAACCCCAACCAAAACAGTGTATTTAAAGTTTGTGTGGCAAGTCGGAACTGTTGGGACCTAACAATTATATCTACGCATGAAAAACGATCTCTCATATAAGTTAAGCTCTAATGACCTAGCTTTGTAAAGTTTTGTTTGCATGGGAAAAAGTGCTGGAAAAGTGGAGAAGAAGTGGCATGGTTAGGTTGGAGTCAGGTACAGTTTAATGCAAATGCAGTTAATGTAAGTACAGTCTTAGATTATTTAGTCTGATAATAAATAACTGTAAATATTTTAGATGTTTATTGATTGCCATTCCTGCTGACAAAGGGTTTATAGAATAGAATAGAATTCAACTTTATTGTCATTGCACATGCACAGGTACAGGGCAACGAAATGCAGTTTGCATCCATCCAGAAGTGCTTTAGTGATATAGATATATTACAATATATATTAGCAATAATATAGATATGTGAGTATATTACAGAAATGGGTCTATTATGGTATGTTATAATGTACACGGTATGAAGTATGTTGTGAACATTCTATAACTATAAGTATGTACAGGCTGTAGTGAGTACAAGCTATGTACAGGCTATGAACAGGATATAAATATAAATCTGAGATATACAGCTATACAGAAATGGGAACTATGCAAGTTATAAACAGTTGTAGGATTAAAAAGTTATCGTATGTACAGAATGATTATTTACACAGAGTATGAAGTCAAGTAAAGCCCTGATTCTGAAATATTAGGATGCCAAAAAATACCAAAGAGTGCCTCATTGTGTGATAGGAGTTACATGACATGTGAGAACTTGCCTGTGGATTGCTTAACAACATTCGTCACCAATTAATTTACAAGGAAACGAAGCTACAGCTGCTGTTCGCTGTAAATGTTACTTACATTTAGAAAACTCATGATCTAAAGTACAGTTGGATTATTGAAGAATGTGTTTAACAATTTCAAATGGCTCTTAAATACATGCAGTAATTTTGCAGGCAAACATCTTCCATTAGATTGTGCTTAAATCCTAATATTTAGTTACTTTTGGATTAGTCGATTATTCTGATTTCTTCTCCCCTGCCTCCTAGGCACCAGGACCACTCCTATTACTCCCCCAGACATAAAAGAGGATGTTTCCCGGATTTGCACATTGGCATCAAACCTTGTTTCTGGGTATAATAAGGACAGGCACATTCCAGATTGAGCTTTTTCAAAAAACACAACATTTTCCCAAATTTAAATGATCACATCTTTGAAAGAGCAACCTGTGAGTGACAGATATGGAATTTGAACTTTGTAATTAACATCATTTTCAGATTTGATTTTCATTAGTTCAGTTTTTTGCAAAGTGAGACGTGAGGTGTAGAGACAAAAATAAGATTGTTTGTGAAAACATTGGAGAGTGCTGCTGTTCGCACAGACTGTAGAGTGAATCGTGTACATCAAACTTTTTTTTATAACCAATGGTTTTTGTGAGAGCTAGAGGTCATGTTGAACTAAACATAGCTCAAACATCTAAACTTTTTGGGTTTGCTTTGCTGAACACTTGAAAATCTTTAGTTGTCAGTAAGAGATGTGGCCTCCTACAGATTTACTGATATGGCCGAAGGCCTTTAACAACTTGACCAGTAGGAAGGTCATCCTATCAGTGATGTAACCAAGAAACTGATATCAATTTACCAAAAGAAACTTTAAGAAAAAACATTCTTTGTAAACTCTAGAGACATTTGTGTGGAAAAATCCCATTGGATCAGCAGTTTCTGAAACACTCAGACCAGCCCATCTGGCACCAACAACCAAGCCAAGCTCAAAGTCATTTAAATCACCTTTCTGCCTCGTTCTGGTGCTCAGTTTGAACTTCAGCATGTTGTGTTGATTGTAAATGGTAAATGGCCTGTATTTGTATAGCGCTTTACTTAGTCCCTAAGGACCCCAAAGCGCTTTACACTACATTCAGTCTTTCACCCATTCACACACACATTCACACACTGGTGATGGCAGCTACATTGTAGCCACAGCTGCCCTGGGCGCACGGACTCCCATTCACTAAACATATATGTTTAGTCAGGTCTACTACAATTGCAATACAACCTTTTTTTAAATCTATTTGTATTTATTTTGAATTAACTGAAGAAAACATTTTAAAGTTGACATTCTCTCCTTGTAATTTCGGTAGAATCACAACTAGTGCATAGCTTTTCATTTTGACAGATTTACATTAATCGGATTATGTTGTTGGACAGGATTAGCTCCATTGATAAGGTCCAAAGTAGCTTTTAGCTGTCCAAAAAATGATTTAAAAGATTTAAAAGCTAGGATGACTTGAACAAAAACATATTTCACACTGTAGACCTGATAGAGTTTATGAGCGGGGTTTCAGAGGACGAAAGGCTTTGAGCCAGCCTTGAACCCAAAAGTGTTAGCATCCACAGCATGTGTCTGAAGCACTAGGAAACCATCTTTAAGAAGTGCAGTGCAAAGATTACAGTATAAATGTGCCGTTCCACTGCCTACGCCTCCTGAAGATTGCCTTTGTTGCCAGTATCGCTTAAGTCTCTGATTATCACCCTGACAATCCTTTGATCCGAATGGAGTGTAGTCGTCTTGACTGTGCCTCTGTCCCTTTACGCCTCCTCACCCCGTCCAGATTTTAGTCTAGATTTCCAGTCTAGTGTCATCCAGAGTGTATCACAGGGCAATTTGTAATGGGCAGCCCTGCTATTAGTCAGTGACAGAGGAAGAGGCAACGCTGTGTCAAACTGACGGATGCTGCTGCGCTGTTGACACTTCTTCTCTGCAACCTTAAATATCTGTTGTGTTCTTCTGTGGGCTCACCCAGGACTGCAGCTATCGATTAGTTTAGTGATCGAGGATCGATTATTCTCTGAGTTAATTACATGATCGAATAAGAAACACTTCTGTTTTGTTAATGAGCTATAGTAAATATTAAGAAAAGGGAAAAAAAGACAGCTCTTTTGGGAATGAACTGCTCATTGGTTTCTATTTTATTTTGATAATTCAACTGCATACAGAATGTGGCCTAAAAAAGCTAAACACTGTCACTGAAGTTATATATTTTAAATAAAATATTTCCTAAATGCATAAATAACTAAATTATCATAAGTACAGTAATGTCCTAAAATGTACTAAAATCGGGCTTACATACAACCTGAACTAAGAGGTCAAATAAAATAACTTTATCCTGTCTTTTTGGAAGACTGTGCAGAAAATAAGTTAAAACAATAGAATAACAGAAAAGAGCAAAATAAATAAATAAAACATAAAACATACAATTAAAACAGCCCTATATTAAAACCAAAACAAGATAAAACAGCATTGAATCACCTATAAAAACAACTAAAATAAAAATAAAAACCAACATCTCACGTGGTGTCAAAGGCCAGGGTAAAGAGGTGGGTTTTCAAGAGTGACTTAAAAACAGATAAAGAAGTGGCCTGTCTAATCTCTAAAGGAAGCTCGTTCCACAGTTTTGGAGCTGCTACAGCAAAAGCACGATCTCCTCTAAGTTTACGCCCAGTCCTGGGTATCTTCAGGAGCAGCTGATCAGCTGACCTGAGAGAGCGGGTGGGTGTATAAGGCTGTAGCAGCTCAGAGAGATAAGATGGAGCTAGGCCATGGAGAGCTTTAAAAGTAAATAAAAGAATTTTAAAATGAATCCTAAAAGAAATGGGCAGCCAGTGAAGTGAAGCTAAAACAGGGGAAATGTGCTCAAACTTTCGAGTGCCAGTTAAAAGACGAGCTGCGGCATTTTGCACCCTCTGTAGATGACTAATGACACTTGTAGTTTGACCTTTTTCCACTTGCGCTCAGCTCGACGACAGTCGCGTCTGACAGCTCGGGTCATGTCGTTCGGCCAGGGCTCAGATTTAGTTTTAGGCAGTCTGGTGTGTCTGAGTTATTAAATGTTGTAATGAATAAAGGAGAAGGTGTGGTTTTAAGCCTTTAGAGGAACAAGCTGTAGCTGGAATGAAGTGAGGAAATCTGCATTGTCTGAGGTTTGCACTATGCTTCAATGCAACGTTTCCTGCTGCGGAAAGCAGACATTCTGATGGTGTAGATTTTAATAATTCATGTTTATAATTATTCAGCGTCAAACAGCACTGGGTCAGTGACTTCTGCTAGCTTATGTATATTTTTACTGGCCTGCGGGTTGAAAAAAGGTTTTATTTTTATATTTTTAAATATTAATATAATTTAATCAATATAAAAGCAAAGTAATGTTACTAAAGCTTTGAAATAAATATGATCTAGTACATCCCATGCCCCCCTTTAAACTCACCCCTGTTCGCTGAGTATATCACTGCAATAGAAAAATGGGATGGATAGATAGATAGATAGTTATTCCAACACCAACACAAGGATATCAGATCGTGCGCACAGTGATCAGTTCTTATTTAGTGTTTGGTTTGTGCAAAAACTACTGCTTAGTTGTCCCCGCCCCCTTTGTCCTCCTGTTTCCCCTCCGCCTCCCCTCCAGCGAGGAGTTAAAGAGTTTAATGGCGTGTGGGACAAAGGAGTTTTTAAGTCTGTTGGTCCCAGACTTCTCTGGTTATTAGTGACCAACATTGTCAATAATGTCTTGCAGTTTTTTGCTGCGGTGGATAGGAGCAGCTACAAAAACTTTTTTTCAACATACTGGATCCTGTAAAACAGGTTGTTCGATGCAGGACTCCTCCCCGGGTTTTTAACAGAAATGCTTTTAATGGTGATTACAGTATCGGGTTCTGCTTCTCAGTACGGCTCCGCCTCTTTGATCTTCGACGTGTGTGTGTGTGTGTGTGTGTGTGTGTGTGTGGACAGACTCTACATTAAACTACATCTTCACTGCTACTGTTGTGTTATCAGTTTTTTGTTGGAAAACCCAGGGCAAAAAATTTGCGTTGAGGATTTTTTTTTTTTTTATAATCGAGTTATTTGAGTTACTCGAATCATTGCAACCTACTTTCACCACTCTAATCCCATGTGTGTGTGTGTGTGTGTTAGTGTGTGTTTTTCTGGGTTGATTGTTGTTTGGTATAGCTGCTGATGGACAGCAGTCATCTGTAAAATTGACTCTCCTCGGGAGCTGCTTCAGGAAACGGGCAAAAACAATACAGAAGTAGGATTAATGAAATGATTTTCTTCCTTCCCTTTTCTTCTGTTTCGCAATTGTACTTTGAGCACAGATGTTTGACAGGGAAGGCAGAATGCCAACAATTACCTTATCATTGTCACGCAGATGTAGTGCATCTGTGACTCTGCCATTATTTTGTGCTCAGCACCCAGGTTGACGCGGCCTATCCCGCCCCTTTTCTCACAGCAGAGTTTTCATCAAGTTCACCTTCAAACGACAGCATAATCTGTCGCCTAAAAATAGTCCCGCTGTGACATATTTGGTGCTTGTATCTTGGCTCTCGCTTCTCTTGGATCAGTTTGTTTTGTGTTTATTAATTAATCTCCCATAATGATCAAGGCTGAGAAATGAAGCAGGGAAACAGAAAGAAACACAACAGGGAGTAACCTGTCTTTTGGCTGTTTAAGCTCAGAGCTTTCCCATTTGGACACTGAAATTCACATCGATGACAAGAGGAACTAACAAAAATGCCACACAAATGTTACTTGGTTGAGAGTGCTTAGCGGCGTAGGGTGACAGGATAGTGCGGGGAAAGGATGAAGGTGAAGAGGAGAAAGGAGAGGCAGCCCTGTCTGTTTTTCAGTCTTCAGTAACCCTGTAGCCACTCAGTTTGGGTTTTTTCTGCCACTGCGTTTCCTGGCGTTGGTGTGCCACAGTCGAAAAAGAGACAGCAAAGGACAGTTCCCGTCAAGGTTTAATGACCCGTGTGATTTTTTTTGGGCGAGAAATGTGTCCTCAGAGGCAGCTCGACCTGTCTCCCAGGCCCTGTCTTTTCCAGGATCCTGGGGAGGGAAATCTCCACCATCATAAATGCTACTGGTGACAGAAGGCCAGAGTAGAGACTATTAGAAATCAGTCATTAGTGTGCCAGTTGGCTCCCCTGGCGTGTCACCGTTGTCTCTTTTGCCACACTGGGGAGCAGTGGAAGAAGTAGACAACCACAATGAAGGTGATAAACTATCTTTAGGGTATTTTATTTTATTTTTTAAAGGGTGTATTGAATTATACTATAGTTAGACCTTTTTATATTGTAGAGATTATTTAGAATGAGAATATACATATATCTTAAAGCCTGTGAAAAACAACACTGGTAAATATTATAAAGCCATTTCAAATGAGTAAAAAGCCAAACTTAATTCACACTACATGGAATAAGCATAATTACACGTTTTTCATATGGGTGTCCTTAAAGAGTCCTAAGTATTGTGTTAATTGCTTTTTAATGGCGCTATTAAAGGGAGGCTGTCCCTCACGCCCCAGCACACCTGTACAAATGATAACTATAGGTTTGTAGTGGGGCGATTGATCTCAGCACAGAGTCATCATCATCATATTGCTGATTAAATGAAGAGAATGAGCCAATTTGTTTTGAGTGCAATCAACCTGTCAACATTTTATTTAACCTTACAGCTCTCCCACACAGTGCTTCTTTTTTGATTGAGAGTTATAATGGGAATCCACTTAAATAGAACACAAACCTTTTTTTGTGTGTATTCAGAGGTTTTCTGATGGTCCAAGCACCGTGTCGGTGGTGTGTCATACTAACAAAGAAAAGTGGGATCAGGATTCACTTTAGAAAAGAGCCAGTGAAAATTGTATGGAGTCTGCACTCTCACACGATCAAGCATTGCAGCAGAGGAAGAACTCGCCAGCCCCAGTCCAGATTAGATAAGCAGGAAGTGCTGAATCTGTTCTCTGTATGCCTCCTTCTGGTACACTGAGGCTGTAAAAGTCGGTCCCAGTTTATAGAAGTGCTGATAGAGGCATAATTGAACAACCATGCTGATTATTGATATCACGAAAACACGCCAGCTTCTAATTATACCAAGCTGCATTAGAGTGTAAGGAAAGCGCAGTAGTTGAAAGGAGGCAAATGTCTCCTTTTTGTACAGGACAAATTAGAATCACACTTTAAATATATGAAATGATCAAATAAATGGTTTAGAGAATTGATGTTCTTTGTAATAGGACAGCTAGCAGCAACATGGTGACCAAAAACTGACAAATGTCCATGAAAATTCAGCAACTTTAGGAGATGACAGGGACTTTAACTGCACCATGATCTGTGGCTACCAAGTCAAACTAATTTGATTTCTCAACTTTGAGATGATAAGCTTTCAGCAGGCTACAAAGAGAACGACATGATTAGGTGGGAAATATACAATAGTTGTACCTGGAAATCCAATACAACCATCTGTTAGCTGCAGGATGATGGACACACACACGCACACTCTCACACTCTGGCAACTCATGTTAGTCCTCATGACCCAGTTTGGTGCAATGACACAGTTTTAGAAAACATTTCTACTGTAACCGCGATATCTGTGTAAAGCTGACAAACTCTAAATCAAACCTTTTCCTTTCTGTATTTTCCTTCCTCATATTCCCAACTTGTCTTCCACCCACAGCCGCTGTGCCAGCGAGTCCCTGCTTGTCTCAGTGCACGTGCCCACCAGTCTCACGCTGCCACCCGTGCAGCGGATGAAGATCGTCCTTGGACGGGTCAGGAGAGCCTGGCTCAGGATGACCCCGAGATGTGGAATCTGCTGCAGAATGAGAAGGACAGGCAGTGCCGTGGTTTGGAGCTCATTGCATCTGAGGTACTAGGTGCCAGATTAAGTGGCGCAAAATAGCATGTGAGCGCAATCTCCAAATTTCGCTTGTGTTTGCAGTTAGTTTTCCAATCATAGACATGAGTTTGTTTAAATATCAAGTGTGAAAAAATAGCATTCAACATCAGCGCAACTGGCAGTAAATTGCATGTGGCAAACATTAGTAAATCAGTTTGTTCTCTGAGAAAGGAACTCTCAGAAATGTAAATGCAGCAGGGTCAGTTGCAAAAATCTCTGAGTTCCCATCTCTTACACACTGTAATCTCTTTGTAAATATGAAAGAATTTTTGTTTATACTAAAACCCAGTTTGAACTGGTGCAACTTGCTAGTAAATCTATATAGAAACCTACATTGAAAGTCAGAATACGTCAGCGCACACCTTTTATGTTAATCTATAAATGGTTTTGTTTCCTCTCGTCATTTTGATTGAAGCGGATGGTTATTTGAAATATATAACTAATGATTACCACCTTAAAACACTCAGTTGAGAACAGGCGCTTGAATTTTTCACAGTCCTTTAAAACTGTTGTCACGGAGTTGTAAGGCGACAGACTCACTTGTTTAAAAAAAACGTATTTTTAAAAGGGTTTAGTCAGTCAGACACTCGTTCCACTTTTTTGTATTGATTCAATTGTCTTTCTTTTTTTAAGCAAAGATGGTCAATGTAAGCAGTTATTCGGTGTCTCAGAGAGCTGATAGCCTCTCCCTGACATGTTAGCAGTGCAACTGTCTGAGAATAACTAATCCCCTCTCATTAATGAATGAATGCGCTGACTTTGGGATATTTATTCTAGTTATTCTACATGTTACTGCTGGCTGGAAAAGTGAGGGAAAAGCCTTTGAGGTCTTGTGATAGATGTGCACACCAAATCCAACACATGATCGTGGGTATAGCATTTGAAATTCACACTCTGCCAAGTTATTTATTCTTGAATCCTCTTGCTGTCTGCATTAATGTTGTATACCTCTAAATGTCCTGTTTTAAATATTTCCATTGGCCTTTGAGGCTTCTAAAACTGAACTTTTGTCTCACACATACAGCTCATAAACTGATGTCATGATCTCTGACAGGAATAAATTCATATCAAGCTTCCTGTTAATTCATTATTCACTCACTGAGGAACTGTACACAGTAGGCTGGAAGTCATTCAAACTCAACTTCTTTAATAGTAAAAACACTTATAAGAAACTCTGCTTGTTGTGAGCGAGACTAGCTCAGTTATCAGAAAGATTTGGGCAGCTCTTTGTTTTCATTCCAAGGCCGGATGGTGTGAAATGAAAAATTTTACTATTCAGAAGAGCAGACAAGGTTTTATCTTCTGCTGTTCCTTCTCTCTCCTCCTGTTCCTTCTTCGCCACAGTAGTTGTTCAGTGGAGTATGTCAGCCCCCTCTCAACACAAAGCCTGACCACTCTAGTGTGAGATAAAGCTGATGTCTTCATTCTGCCTCCTCCCCAGCTCACTCTGCAAGTCACATCACAGTACAGCTCAGACAGACATTCCTCCGATGAGAAGACGTACAGTTTTGCACACACACACACACTGACACTAAGAAGCAAATGCGTTTCCTTTCTAATATATGCACAGTAGTTGGCATGACAGACGGATGCAGTAGAAAGCTGTTACTGGAGCTGTTATCTGCCTTGATCTCCTCTTGGCTCACAGGTGAAGCATTTGCATAACAACACAGCACGACCACCACCCCACTCAGAGAGGCAGCATTCAGACTTTATTTGTCTGTGTTCATTTTATGTCAGATGCTGTTACTGACCAGTGTGACGATATACAAGAGAGTTATGCTACACAGTCGGGGCTGCATCACTCAGATTTTAAGATTTTGGTCAAGCTCTACTGTATTGCAGTAATTGCAGATTTAAAAAAAGGCAAAGGAATGCATCTACTAACATCATCAGTCAATGAGTCCAGCCAATAAATTTCATCTTGAGCAAACTGAAAAGATACAAAGGAAACAGTATGCTTTTTTTCCTCTAACAATAATGACTAAAATTTCTTTCTCAGTGCGTCTCAACGATCCTGATGTAATTCAGCATGTGTAGAAACATTTATTGCATTATCTTGTATCCTCCAGCTGCAAGGGGATAATCATTGGAAAGTGCAGAGTGTTAGTCTATGGAAGTCCAGAGGTTCAATACTGTAATGATTGCCTCTTGCCGGAGGGGGATTTCTCACTATCACTTAACAGACTTTAATTTGCTGTCCTTGTCCCTTCTGTCTACTCGTGCCATTGATCTGTGTGTGTCCGCCTGTGTGTTCTCATTGCAGAATTTCTGCAGCCGAGCAGCTCAGGAAGTTCTCGGCTCCTGTCTTACCAACAAATATTCACGCAACCCTGTCATAAAGTAAGTTTTTATTCAGCCACACCTCTGTTTGTTTTCACTATTAATATTATGTGCTTGAGGATATTTGTTACAGACGTGCACAAACACACACCGATCTATACTGTGTAGTCTTGTTTACCCATGATAGTAATTTCTTACCAGGTACATAATCCACAGCCTCTGCCTTTCCAAAGAAAATTCCTGAGGGGTTATATTTGAAGAATTTAGTGCCGGGCTGATAGTTGCATGTTTTCTATTTTCAGTTTAGTTCTGTTATTTCCTTCAGATAAGTCGCATTTATCAGCAGCAACCAGAAAGATGACATGTTTTGAAATTCATCTCATTTGATGCCTTTGATTCCTGGAATACAATCCTACCACAAATCTCTCTCCCACTGACTGTGTTTTTAATTTTTGTTTTTTTCCCTCCCGACATCCCACTCATCTGTTGTTTTTTTCTCCCACTTTTAATGTAATGTAACAAAAGGATGATCTCATTGAATGAGTGGTTTGTAAAGTAGCCATCTGTTGCACCTTCATCTGTAATTCCACTGAAAAGGTTTGATTTTCACGAGAGATGCCTCACATCTGCTGTGGAAGTTTTGGGTCTAGGTTGGTGTAGATCTTTCTTGACTAAATTTACTGTTTGTGGAAAATGTGTGAAAATATGTTAAAGGGGCCGTAGTCTAAACAGTTTTACAGCGATGTACCAAATGACAATGCAAAATTAGTGCTTTACTTAGAGGGTTTGCTTGTACTGATGACTCTAGACTATGGAGAACATTTGTGTCCATACCTGTCATAGTGTTGGTTTTCACCAATATGTTCTACCTGCTCAATCACAAGCAACAGACAAATAGATAGCAAGTAGCTGGCGATTGCTGTTGGCTATGTAGGCAGTTCCCATCAGGGGCTGGCTGTAACAAAAATAGATTTAATGGACTGAACAGACTGGTATAGCTAATCTGATGAATGATAATTTCATTTTGTATTTGCATGGAATGCAGTTAACAGCAGTTTACCACACTGGCTTGTCCGTTGTGTTCACGGCATTGTTCTGCTGGCCAAAAATGAAGGATCCCTGGTTTAAGGGACCAACCAGATAGTGAATACAGATAAAGCATGTCATCAATGTTCCCTCTAATTTTCCATGTGTCTGAGCGAACACACAAACTCCCTGAGCGATCCCATGGACCACTGTGAGCAACAGCAGACGTGTGCACTGTGGTCACACCAGCATTGAATCCATCCAAGTTACATGGTTTATTAAAAGAATCAAATTACAGCATTTACATTTATGTTAGACTACTTTTAATTAACTGCTTTAGCCCACTTACAATGAAAATGTAAAATAAAAATGTAGTCATTGACCTGTGTAGTTTGTTAACACTATTGGGAATAAAAATAACTTGAATTCCAATTTTGAAAACACAACTTTCTTCTTTTTTCTTTTTTTTATAAAGCTCTGACTTGTATTATGAGTCTGTGGTCTGGGAGAGTCCTGTAACTCTCTGTCTGCAAAATACAGTATATAATAACCAATGTTGGGCAATTAATTATATAGTTACTTCTTCAAAAAAGTAACTCAGTTTGGCAAACAAAGTTTTTTGCAGCTATTTTTTTTTTTTAAATGCAGCCAAGGTGTTTTTTTTAATAAACATTTCAAACCATTTACAGCACAATCAGCTGTTCTGCATCAAATTTGATGCCATACAAATATTTTTGGAGTGCCACTCCAAAAATAATTTCTGTCCACTATGAGATAAAGGAGAACATCAGCCTAATACCTGCAGGCTGTACTTTTTTCGACCAATAGGAAAGGGTGGGGGTGTTTTTGGTTTTGTTTCTGCTCACAGGCAGAGCGTTTTTTCTTATAGAACGTTTCTTCCCGCAGTAAATATAAACAACGACAGTATTCAGGAAGAAAACCAAACATTGCAGATATTTTTATCATAACTCTGGTTTTACGTGGCCGATCAACACAATTTAAAAACTGGTATAAAGTCCACACTTTTCCCGTCAGTTGTTCCATCTGTCCTGCTCACATCTCCAATGGTTGTACACGTTGTCATTACTGTGGCTTCACTCCACATCAGCCGCTTTGCCAGCTAAAACACCGGTGCCGGCACATAAGGACGCTGTCATAGCCTGTCAACCACGTTGATTAGCTGCGTATATACGAATGTGAATCGCATCATTGGCTGGACTATGGGATAAGGTGGCATCGTTCAAATCCCATACGGGAGCAGCCAGTCACTCACTGACTAACACTGCAAAACAGAATTGTTGAAGTTCTTTTCCCATCCTCAAGCACTCGTCTTTGTACCAGGAAGTCACAATGACATACCAATAATACACGGACATTAGATGAATTGAAACAAATTTTCCATTACAGGTCTCATGGTGGAGGAGGAGTGGTTGACCAAATTGAGCTGCTCTGTCAGAAGCGAGCTCTGGAGGCCTTTGACCTGGATCCAGCTCTGTGGGGCGTCAACGTCGAACTGTACTCTGGCTCTCCTGCCAACTTTGCCACTTTCACCGCTGTACTCAATCCCCACGATCGTATCATGGGCCTGGACGTATCTGATGGTGGACAGTTAGTATTCACTGTTGCTTTATTTTCATTGTTGGTCCTGTTTTTTCTTCATCCACACACTTTTAAAGCCACCCAAGTTGTTGGTCAACTGTAGTGTGTTACTGCCCTTTTTTAGTTTCCTACAAATCTGATATTCATATTGAATAAAATTTTGTGAAAAGGTTTACAAACAGAGTCTTTGAACTTCCATGTTTTATTCTTTATGTATATATTGTTTTTTCTCACTCCAGTCTGTCTCACGGCTACATGTCTGATGTGAAAAGAATCTCTGCAACCTCAATCTATTTTGAGACAATGCCTTACAAGCTAAATGTAAGTAGAAAAACCTTCTACTAATATCTACTGACACCTGTTGATTAGCGCTGTTTGATAGGATGATACATATGGGATGATATGAATATACATATCGGATATGAAAACATCGTTTCATATTATGCTATCGTTTGTTTTGTGGTGTCGCAAAATAAGCTGTTTACGGCAATATTTTTTCATCGTTTTGATGGTCACTGTAGTGGCGATTTAAAATAACCACACTATGGACGGACAAGCGACTGTTTTTACACGTACTTTCATTAGCAACGGTAAAATCATTGTGTGGTTCCGCCGTCTGCTTGTTTATTTTCTACATAAACCTTTCACAATAAAGCTCAACTTTTCAAAATACACTGAAATGATATACATTATTCTCAAACATCAAATTTCAGAATATGCGTCAAAAAAATTACCTGAAATAAAAACATAAGGTAACTATAAATGGTGCTTACAGTCACCACGTGGATGCGGGCACAGAGAATGCCAACATGGCCAGTGAAGATGAGGCAGAACCAGTTAGCTCCAAACAGAAGGACCAGTCAAAACAAATCGAGGACCTTATTCCTAAACGAGGGGCTACCTCTGTAGCATGGACAGGGTTTGGTTATGAAAAGTCTGACACGGACCAGAAAACACAGGGCAGGCAAACCTCTTCAACCACCTACGCAAGAATCACGTGAACGAGTATGGAGAGAGTTAGCAGATGAGAAGCAAAAAAGAGCCATCAGGTGTTCAAAATACACCTTAGACTCAAACATTAGAACAGGCTTTTCCCCACAGCGCACCGTGTAATAAATACAAAGCCAGTACAAGTTATGTCTAAAAATGTATAGTTTAATGCATCAGTCAAAACACTCGACTCCAGGTACACGACGCCCAGCTGAAAACACTTCACACAAGTTGAGTTCCCCGAGATTCACAGAATTTACAGGAAATGCACTATTTTGTGATATATATTGTTATTGGGATAAGAAATGTCATATCGGGATATGAGATTCTGATCATATCGCACAGCCCTACTATTTATACCAGTGTAGAACGATTCGCTTTTTGGAGGTAGAGTATGAAAACTGGGAGATATACTGATGTATTTTTGATGTCTTACGAATGTCAGTGTGAGAAGTCCTCCAAAAGCCAATAAGCCAGCAAATGTTAAGACAGTCAAGCTTTCAGTATGTTAGAGTAAGATGTAAACACATTGCACAAGGCCGACACACGCAGCTTTTTTGCTAGTTCTTCTTATAATAGAATTTAAACTTAAAAATAATAATGTAATAATGACTACTGCCACATTACAGTAAATGTACACTGAGCAATAAGCCATGTCTTAGATTGCTGTCATAATATTGGCAGTTATGCTGACAGTGTTGGTCAGCTTGTGTTCATCAAATGTGAACACCTGGGACAACTAAACTATATTTGAATCTTTCTACAGTGTTACTCTTTTTGTTTAAAATCATTAACTTATTCATTGAAAGAAACACAAAACAAGAGCAAGAAATGTAAAGACAATAATAGCCTTTTAGAAAATCCTGTTTGTTTCCCTGCCCCAGAGGGAAGACGTGAGGCAGTGTGGCTAGGGATTTAGTGTCTAACTTCACAAAACTTAAACGCAACAGACACTTGCTGGCAGCTGTTTGCTGACACAGGGCAGTTCGCAAGTTTATAGTCAATATACGGTGACCATGTAGTCTTGCTGCTATCCTTGTAACACATTCAAAGTATTTTCCACCTGCACCAGCATCGGTTAAGTTAGGTTGCATCAGATTTAACAAGTGATTTTTTAAAATTAACATCAAGTTATGATCACTCAACTATATTTAGTGTAGAATATTTTATTTCTGGGGTCATAGTTGCAGTATTGGTAGCAGCTGATGGATGGTCATGAGAGTCTGTGTGTCCAGACCTGCTGATGTATGGGCAAGCAGGACCCCTCTGTGAGAAAGATAATGGGAAATCGACAAGCTGGCCAGCACTACTGGCTCTGTCTTCACAATGAGCAGGTTGATGGAGTGAGGGGGCATCCATAGATGTGCTCTGGAGATGGGAGATTATCAGGCTGTCTAAATAAAGCTTTCCTTCCTCCTTTTCTCTCTTCTTTTTCTTGTCTCTGTCTGCCTTATTCACCATTGTTTTTGTCCCTCACTTTGTTTTTCGGCTGCATTCTGGTGTCTTTCACTGCTTCTCTTTTCTGACGCTTAAAGGTGGACTAGAGGGGCAAAACTTCACTATGAGGCATCAGACATATCGGTCACTGGACAGGGTGAGCCTGGCTCCATTTCATGTGACTTCAAATTGCATTTACTGGAAAAAATGGATTGTCTAATGTGTTTCTTACATTGTTCATTTTAATAAAAGGGGGCAGAGAGAGTCTCGAAACCAACCTGAATCTGTTCAGGTTCATTGCACCAGCATAGCAGGTCCCTGAATGGTTAAATTAGGATAAGTAGGGGTGCATTACTGCAATTGCTCCATCTTCTTCCATGATATGATAGGTGTAAATGCCTCCTTTAGATAAATTCCTTCCCCCTTTAAGGTAGCCAAAGTACTTCAAATACAGCTGCTTCGAATGAGCTTCAAATGGAAAAAATCTCTCTTCCGTGTAGATATGTTTGCTCTTGATACTCAGATATCTGACAGTTTTTTGATCTTTACATATTCCTTTTTTCTCCTGACCCTTACATTCCCTCTAATATTCTCACATTCTTCTTCCACTTTCTCTTTATTCTTTCACACTCTTCCTTTATCTTCTCTGTTTCCTCAATCTGTCTCCCTTTCTGCAGATTGCAACAGGACTTATAGACTACGACCAGATGGAGATGACGGCCAAGCTGTTCCGGCCCAAGCTCATCATCGCTGGCACCAGTGCCTATGCCCGGCTCATTGACTATGCCCGCATCAAGAAGGTGCACGGAGAACTCTCTGCATTCACAGCTCACCCCATGTTCACCCCGTCTTTTTCCGTTTTTTGCATTGTAATGCCAAGCACACCAGCTTCCCATACCGACAGGTCACATCTCGCCAGCATTACTTCAAACCGTGTCTTTGCTAATTTCGTCCGACAGAAATGGAGACTCGTCTGCTCTAAATAAAGAGCATTCACTTTGAAGCTTCAACATTTTCCAAACACACAAATTTCAGGGTCATTACACACTTTACACACAGCTGCTTTCTTCTTCTGTTGACTACTCAACTCACACTGAGTCACAAGTACTCAGTAGCAACTTTTAACCACACACTTCACTGTTCTCTTTGACGGTGCACAAGAGGCCCCTTTATCTGTTTTGTTATACCCACCCGCTGATTCACTTCATTCACTCCATGACTGTTTCTCTTTGTTGCAGAGCTCCACTTTAGCTAGTACCATCAGATGGAGTGTCCCACCATTACAGAGCTGTGTTTTTATTAAGCACCATAACTACTTTGCCACTAGGCCTGAAGAGGGGCCATATTTTCCCCCTGGCATGTCTCTGTGCAACTGTTCTCTGTTTTATGGCCGAATCTGTTAGGCAGACTTCACATTTTAGGCGGGGGTGAGCTACCTAGATTGTAGAGTTGTTCATTTTTTGTGTGGTTTTTTTTTTCTTTTACTATCGGTATTCATCAACTGCCGCGCTTCACCCTCTTGTGTTCTTTACCCTCTTTCCTTTTAATCTAATAAACGTGCAGATCCAGTTCAGATATGAGAGGAAGAGAGATTGTCACGATAATGCATATTAATTGGAGCACTAAAAAGATTGTTTACTGCTCTGATCATTCGCCAGCGAGTCATTTGCATGTTAGCGAGCTATTTATTGTTTGTGCCTTTTTCAATAAATGCTGGCAAGAGACAGCAAGGATTTATTGAATTGCGTTATAATATTTCAGGCCTCTGAAGACTGCTGAAGGATGTAATTACACCAGCTCTCATTTGAAATGTCTTTCCTTAGAGAACATGGGTACCGTTAACAGATGGAGTTAGTCCTCAAATCTTAACTGTGGGGGGGTAAATGTAAATGTAGTGCCAAGACATTGTATCTGAAAAACATTTTATATGCATACACAATGTAATTTATCGATATTTGAGCAGTGTCAAAAACTCACTAAAGCTGAAGTGCTAAGTTTGAGCTTCATCAGGGCTTGGGTGTCTTCATTAAATCACTTATTTTTGGAAAAGACGTAACCGCCTGGCAGAGTCCACGGTGAGTTTAGGGGTCATATTTAATATGTCTGCAGTAAAGTCCAACTGAGCACTGTGAGCAGAGAACTTTACAGATGGCAGAGATCAGTAGGAATTTAAAAATATTAAATGAAAAGAGCTGCAGTGAGCTTATCATAAGAGCAAATCATAAGTGTTTACAATTTTTAAACATGGTGAGCACTGATTTGTTCCAAAACATAAAAAGTAAACCCCAGGAAGACCCATCCCCTAATAATATAAACATTCAAGATTCAAAGCGTTTATTGTCGTGTACAAATTAAGCATTTCTCTGTACAATGAAATTCTTTCTTTGCTGTCCACAAACAGATGCCGGTTAATATGTACAATAGAACTAGAACACATAAAGCACAAATAGTATAAATAAATAAATGGAGACAAGAAATTGAAGTATTAAATAGACTTGTGT